AATGGGAAGCGGCGTTGCTTCGTCCGTTTGACCTCTTGATCCATGGTCACTGCGGTACTTCCACGAAGGTGAGGCTCTTGTGGAACTCGATCTTGTCGAGGGGGATTAAAAGAGTCTCGTCGGATATATACTTCTTCAAGTTTGGGACGTGATGGGTAGAATGTACTTTACCACGCTCGCGGGAGTAGATTGAAGTTGCGAGTTACAGGGCTGATTCTGACCAGTATCTCGAAAGGCATAAATGTCTGGGTTTTAGCTTTCCACTCCTTCTGAAGCGTACTAAGCCATCCCAGAGTGAAGCTTCCAATGGAAATTGGTCTCTTATTCTGGAGTCCTAAGGGTTTCTCCCTTTTGCTTCTCTTCCCTGTCAAGGGTTGCTCCCTTCAGGGTCAAAGTCGTAATGGGTTTCCGAAATTTACGAGAAGTTCCGAGGAACTAAGGCTGTAGGTCAGCGAGGCCAAGAATTTTGGCGTATCCCTGCTGATGCTTCTGGTGCTGACCGTTTCTCAACGGTTTTTGATCAATTGTAGGGGTCCTTAAGAATTTCCACATTTATGATGCTGTGCCTCAGGAATTTGACTTCTCAATTGCAAAGCTCGAATCTAGAGAATTTCGAGTAAGGTTTCTTTGATCATATTGTTTCCGCGGTTGGTTGTAGCTGTTCTCCTTGGTTTCCTTCTTACTACGAGGGTAGATAAGAAAGTCCTTTACAATGACAATGACGAACTGATCTTAGTAAGAATGGCATCTCGTATTCATTAAGTTCATAAGTACTACAAGCGGCTGGTCCTATCCGAAGGGTATTACTACGGACTTGCAGTGTCCGTATCGAACTTGGAGGATTGTCCTCGGTCATCCTTCTCCAATACTCGTGACTGGTGATATTCAGATCTCAGGTCTAGCTCTTGAAGGTACCTTGTTCCTTGCAATTATTTGGTCTATTCATCTATGCGAGGCAGATAGTAAAGGTTTCTACTGGAGATATTATCGGGACCTCTGACGTAGATGGAACTACGAGCAATTTGCCTTTCTATTTGAAGAATAAGACCGGAGCCTTCTAGGGTGAGAAGCTTGGTTCTATAATTTCATTGTTGAGTAGTTCGACAGGTTTGACCTGACAGTTCTTGTAGCTCGGTAGGAGGCATGTGGGTTTGGTTTACGCGACTAGGCCTTTTCGGTTGGTAGGACATTTACTCGTCCTTCTGGGCAACCTCCGAAGTTCAAAGTAGGACTCGCACCTGGTTGTATCCATCCCAAGCTCCCATGCTTGAACCTTGTCTGTTGTATGACATTCCCGAAAGGTCTCTTGTAAATACTTGTGATACGGTTTCGGGAAATATAACACTCCTCTGGTGTGTGTTTTGGAGTTCCACAGTGAGAGATGACCCAAAGGTCCGTGCTGGATGTTTATGAGAGACGAAGGTTTTGATATTCGTGGGGGGGGGGGGGTTAGGTGAAGGGCCCTTTTGTAGTCGTTAAATCGAGAAGATGAGGGCTATATCAATCACAATTGGATAACGACAATAATATCTTTTTAGATAACATGAGATAAGTTGTATTCGTAAGAAGAGATCACTAGAATGATAGAGTGTCTTCTATTTCTTTTCTGTGTGTTCCGTTTTGTTTGATGCTACGATTATTGTAGATGATTCATACCACAGTGTCTAGCACTGGTAGTGGGTGTGTTTTTGATAGCCAGTAATGATACTTGATATCATGATTCCTGACAGGTCTCCTTACGATCGAGCGGTATATGATCGTCGTATGTAAGTTGATATCGTGAAATCGTCGAGTGGGTGACCGCACTCAAACCCTAATACTAGACATGGAATCGGAGTCAGGATGGAATTATTTGTTTCAAGACTTTAGTATTTTTAATTTTAATTAACCCGATGTATGGACAAGGTCATCATAACTTAAAGGTAATGATCCTAAGGTTATATATGAATGTCTTTGGTTTGATTTGTATGAGAAAGAATATTTTAGCTACTTTTTAGAAGGAAGTTTACTTTAGTAAGCGTACCAAATTCATTACAAACATATGGTACTTAAACATTTTGTCATTGGGAACATTACAAAAGTCCTAACTTGGTTCCTTTGCTGCTCCTGTTGGTGTGTTCATCCCACTCCTCCTGTCCCTTCGTCTTTCTTCTCAGTTGGACATTCTCTCTTGAAGTGTCCCGTTTCGCCGCATAGGTAGCATACTGGGCCTACCTTGGTGCAGGTAATTGAAGGGAAGTAATGGACCGGGGCCCTACAAAAACAGATGGTATGCCCTTTCCTGTTGCAGTTTGTTTTTTTTACAGTGTATCTCTCGGCAAGCCTCATAGTAACGAAAGCCACATTGGTTTCACTTTGGGAGTGATCCCTCGTATGGTCTGGCCGGTGTTTGGGTGGCAGACCCCGTGGCTAGTGTCGAGGCATGTGTCGTGACTGTTGTTGTAATGGTAGGGGTGGCCATAGGTTGTTGTCTTTTAGTGGATCCTTGAGATCGGTAGCGCTCTTTCATGTTCCAAAACTTTCTCTTCTTGTTCGTAGGTTCGTGGCCTGAGGTATTTTTGTTGGTAGGTACCCATTGGTGTTCCTGATTGTTACCACAATTTGTATTGTTAGTACTACTTCCACCCCTGCTGACGTTGTTAGCATTGAATTGCACCATGACGGCTGTCATGGTTGCCGTGACTGCAGCCTGAAAGGTAACAACGTCTATCTGCAGTGTTGGTGCCTTGCTAGTTGGTCTGTTGTCTCTAGGTGAAGACATAGCTCTGTTCCCTGACGAAAAACAACTTCGTTAGTGGAAATGATTATCTTAAGTGCATCCTTACAATTTATATTTACACATATAAATTTTGGACATTACTGTACTATTCTTAGTGTTTCTGCTAACGCTCCCGAGATGGAGTTATGGCAGTAGGTAGGAGTAGGTTTCATACGGGCGTTAAGCTTTACTCATCTTAGAATCATGTTTGTCCGAACACATCTGGCTGAGTAGTTTTGATGGGATCCGGTGCATTAGTGCTGGTATGATCGCACCCATAGGTCTATGAAGAAGAAACTTCTCAACAAAATTTTTAAAGGTGAGACGATAATGAGTTCTTAGAATGGCTATATGTCGCAAGTTTTCTAACTAAGTTTATCTCATATCGATTTGTATCGTAATTTGGTTGTTGAGGGTGTTCTGAAAAACAATATATAACGAGACTCTTTGTATGCTAAACTCATGTATTTTAGTAGTTCTGTATCCAAGTGAAAGCTTACACTTGACCCAAGCTAGGTCCTTGTCATGACCTATTGATGTATGCTTAGTTATATAATTAAGGCTAAATAGACATTCGAGTATGATAGGTACATCCTAAGCCCATCTTGTTCATATGACTCTAGAAATCATGGTTTCAGTGAAAATTTTGACCTCGATGCAGGTCTCCTCACATTGATGCAAGGAGAAGTTCTGGTTGTAACTGGATCTCTTGATGTATATCATTTCTCAAATCGTAGTGTTGTGCTGACACCTAGAATAGGGTAGAACCAACATGCATTCATGATCTTTATTTACAAGGTCTCGTGGGTGATATGGATTCACTTACGACGGTCCATCCCTTGTGATGTCTGAGGCAAATTCGATGCACCTAACAGCCCTACCGATCGATGCTTGGCTGCGATCATCCTTTCTTTGAATACCGTGTGTCTACCATGTCACTCTCTTTCCTCTTCATGGGCGGTGATAAGGTCCTAAAAAGAGAGTTGGTCTCGGGAATGGTAATCTAATTCTGAGTGACGGGTACGTGAGACAGTAGGGCTTGTAGTAGCGCGCAGTTTCCGAGCTCGGGTTGTAGTCTACCTACTTTAATCCCCGATGTTCGTGATCTGCCGGGTCTTTGCTGGGAGGGCTCTTTCAGTCGGTCCCCCGTGGTTGAGGTCATAGAACTCTCGTTGGTCTCCACATGGTGGTTGTTGTCATTGTTGTCGACATTCAACCCTCGATCACGATTGTCCAACGGGGTACAGGTTCGATATAGTCGAAACAGTTCGCGGAACCCTTGCTATGCATGGAGGATTGATTACCTCCGGTTCCGCTTATGATTCTTCTCATAACCATTCACCATTCCTCGAGTTCGGATTATGAAAGTAAGGGTCATCCGGCAAGTAGGATTTTTCTATGTTGTATTTGCGAGAATAAGAGTGGAAGAGATAAGTACTATGTGTCTAACTCTATCATCAATTACTTATAGGGGTGATCCTTATTAGTTACTTCTATAATGACATAGTGCATACTAATTACATATAACAAGATACGATAGACCTTCGAATAAGTGATCCCACCCTAGGTCCACATCCAAACAAGGAAAAGGAAGTAAAGTAATGACCACAAATTCTAAGTCTATAATTTCTAAGTTATATATAACTTTAAAGTATCCACTTAGGGACTATAGACCTATCACTACTAGAAAAACAGCCTTTTACGACGCTCATTGCGCGTCGTAAAAGGCTCAGACGATGCGCAAATGCGCGTCAAGGAAGGCCGTGTCATAAAGAGAGACGACGCGCATTTACGACGCTCATTTACGATGCGCAATTACGACGCGCTTTTACGACACGCATTGCGTATCAAGGAAGGCCATGTCATAAAGGAAGACGACATGCATTCATGTGTCGTAACCTTACGATGCGCATGTTAATGACACGCAATGCGTATCAAGAAAGCCATTGTCAAGAAAGGCCATGTCATAAATGAAGATGACACACATTTTTGCGTGTCATAATTTTAAATGTTTAAAAAAAATCATAATTTATAGATTTACTAATTTTCAAATTAAATTTGCATTTCATGTATCATAATAGAAAATAATATACCATTTACAAAAAATACAATCCATTGCACAAAAGTTAATATCATACAAAATACAAAATAAAATACAATAAATAAGAAAGATAATTCATTGGACTAACATGTCAAATACAAATAATCATCCCTAATTATATAACCTAATATTGCATTGCTATTAAGGGACATCATCATAACTCACTGAAGGTCTTGGAACAATGTTCTCATCATCAACTTGTATATCTGCCAAAACCTTGAAAAAACAACAAATATTTAATATTTATATATATAACAAGAACATATTGAATGCATAAAAGGCAGCCAAGTTCGGTTTCACCCTATTCATCACAATAGGCAGCCAATAAGCATGAAAGCATTAGAAAAGAAGTAACCCCCAAAAACAGCCTAATGTATATTTATTAGAATGCGTTAAGAGCAACAAGTTACCTTTAGAAACAGGTCATAAGAAATAGCCCTTCCAATATCTCATACTTTCTCGAAAGTATTGTGAGGCTCATTATATGAATGATACTAACAAAATACAAACAACTAACACATTAATGTTTAGTGTACTTTTAGTTAAAAAAAGAAAAAAAGATAAATAATATCATTTATATCTGACATCCTAGAGGGAGGTAGAAGATAATGTACTTCCTTTTCTAATCTTTCTTCAATTAATTAAAACATGAAGCATTTATAAATTAATATTATATTAAAAATTAAAAACATTTATATTTATAAATTAATTTATACGTGGTAACCCTGGTAAACATGCAGTGCCTCCAGCCAACACAACTATCCTGAACCAAGTATGATCAGTTCTCATTTTGGCAGCATAGCAACGCTCAGTGCAATCTGTCACTGCCTGATGTAGATCCGTTGTATTTTTGAGACCAAAAAGGTAAAATTGGAAATTATATAAAAATAATTCAAGGGCATAAGTTTATAGATATTAAAGTGGATAAAAGATTACCTCTTTCAATGAGCGAACAATGTATAATGAAGAAACATGTAGATCTCTTAGACGAAGTTGCTCTTTAAGGTATTCAGTAAGTTTTAAGCCTCCAACACCTATAGATACAACACCCAGTTTGTGCACCACTTTACCATGTAAAACTGGAAATGACACAAATGGAATTAGAGTTAGGTAATTTACTTATGGCTTTATAAAGTTTTATAAATCTTGTGATTATTTTGGGTTTGAATGAATAACACACTTTTGGATACTTGGATTGCAATCCTGTTGTATAGAAAGTGTAGATCACTCCTTCACATTTTGCAGAACTAGTACACTTAGTTGATAGTGACTCATTTGTTGAATCTATTCATAATCCAATCTTCTAACAATAACAAGAAAAAAAAGAGCACAAATTCTTTAGCTTTTCTGATAGATCACCACTAGGCATCACCAAATGTAAGATGTGGAAAAGGATACGATAAGCTGAAAGGAGCTGATCATCTTTTAGAACTTTGCCACAATAGATTAAATGTTGCTGTTCAGACAATACAGCAGTAACAGAAGCAATATGTTCCTTTAGTGCAGGAACAGGTACCTATAAGAACATATACAAAGTAAGAAAATAGAAACAAGGTAGCAACTTTGAGAAAAACACAAACAAGTTCTAACGCTCATCATCCATTCCATTCTAGACAAAGGATGAAATCATGGTGTTCCATGAAACGATATCTTTTTCATTCATATTTTTAAAGATATTTGAGCTTCCTTGAATGGAATTACACCTGATTAGAGTCACCCCCTTGACGAAAAGCAAAAAAAGACTAATGATATAAGCATAGGTGTAGGATTGCATATACCTGATATGACTTAACCCAATGGTCCACGTGTCCCCTATAGTTCTGTAACACTAATGATATAAGCATAGGTGCAGGTTCTGTGTTTTCATCTTGCAAGTTTTTTTCACTCATTACCTGATACAAAAGAGAAAGAAGTCACTGAAAAAAATTATAAGTATGGAAGTAATACATATATAGGTTCTTAAGTGTCAAGGATTACAGAAGATATTTTTTTTAACGCATCACAGTGTTTTTTTATTTTTTTAAGGAAAGATAATATATATATAATATATATATATATATATATATATATATATATATATATATATATATATATATATTAGTTTGAATTTCAGGTGAGGTGAGCTTACTATGTTTTCAGATATATTGGGATTTGTTGTTTCAAGCAGTAAGGAGATGATGGCTGGATATGCTTCTGTTTGGGGGTTAGATATCAAAATCACATATTCTCCCTAATGGTTTATTAATATTTATTAGGATTTGAACTAATCATATTCATATAATATAGAATAATAGAAACAAGTATGGGAATGAGAATGAGGAACCTAATTAAGTTGTTGTTCTATTTTAGTGAAAAGAGAGAGTGAGTGGGCCCCCATTTTCAGCTATGACTTCATAGCTCTGATCCACATTGACTTATGGTTGGACATTCCTTAGACGAGCACTTGCACTTGTCATGGTCGTTGTTTCTATCTGAGCAACATGAATAGATCCACCAATTTCTTCAGGCAGAGTGAGTGGGCCCCCTTTTTTTAGCTATTTTTTTCACAATAACTCACTAATGTGGGGTTCATCTATGATAGCATCTCATGCACCTGTAACCCCAAAAACACTTGAATCACACAAAAACTTTGATCTTTTGTATGTGCAGAGGACATAATTGCCCTTGTCATATGGATTAGTCTTAGAAATCTTTGTAAGTAAAAGAAAATGGGCCACCTATAAAGAGATGAGACATAATTGATCAATGTTTATCCACCTGTAAAGAGATGAGATTAATTATTATTGTAAGAATTAAATAAAAAATAAATAGTGTTTCTTACATGCGACACTCACGAGTTCATTGTATTGGTGATCCTAGACTTTTCTTCTGACTTCATTGTTGCAAAACACATGCAAAAATACTTTGATTAGTTCCAATAGTAAATTAAATCAACAAGACAACGTAAATATCATAGAATTTTATTATCATTAAGGTATTGTTATAATCTGAATTAATCCAGAAATCATTAAGAAAAAATCACTTATTACCACTAACCTCAATTAATCCAGAAATCATTAAGAACAAGTCGCTTTAACGAGCACAAAATTGACAAAAAGATTAAAGTTAATAGTCAATAGCACAAAATGTTAAATTTAAAAAAAGCCAATGTATTAGGGTGAGCATATAGTGCATATACAGGTAGCAACTCACATTAAACATAGTCTTAACATTTTAGATGATCGAATATAGATATCAGAGTTGAAAATAATTAATAGCACCAAAAAAATCTTGTAATCCTCACATACCTTTATGATGTTCTTCTTATGATCTTCAGATTTATACAGTTTTCTCTATGTCACTACAACAATAGCAGTCTATACCTGTGTGGAGTTAGTGTATATTAAATGTAATTTACTTAGAAATGAAGTTGCCAAACTTCCTTCAATGTCATCAATCTCCTCAACGTAAATACACACACACAAAGATCAAGATGATGAGAAACAACAAAAAATAGAAAATGAAAACACAAGAACACTATTTTACCTCATATACACCAGGAAAGTTAAGTCCCAGTTCTACAACTTGTTGTGGGGTACTTTCCAAGTATATAGAATCCCAGTTTTTGCTTCCAAATGAAGTGTTCTTACTTGATGAAGAACATAATTCATTAAAAGATGACCAATTTATATCTTTATTATATTCTTTATCAAATATTACAAAACTCAGTGAAGCAAATAATCAAACACTTAGTGGGCAATAAAAATCCAACACATTAAAATCAAAAAAATAATAAAAAAACTTGCACCAGACATGGAAATAAATAATAAAAAGAAGCATGAACACAATAAAAAAGGAAGTAAGTAGTTGGGGATGATGATGAACAGTTAGTGATGATGGATGTATTTTCAACATATGATGAACAGTTAGTGCACCACTGGTGTCAAATGTTTCATTCCCCTTTTCATCCACTGTAAAAGCAGCAAGTTTTGCCATAGTAAGACCAATAGGAAAAGGATGTCCTGGATTGCTGAACAAAAAAACATTGTTCAAATCAAGCAGACGAAGAAATATGGACTGAGAAACTGATTTTTAGGCAACCTCATCCTCCATCATTAGAGATTATTAAGAAAATCTGCAGAAATTATTAACAATATGTACTTTTATGTTTAAACTTGGCAGGGACTTGAAGTTTTTCAAATCTACCACACACAATTTCAGTTTCATTTATATTAATAATCCTTGTAGCAGCCTGACCAATGGACACAATGTAACCCCCGCAGATCCGGGCTAGTCAATTTAGAGGCAATAGGGGTCGAAAACGACTTTTCTACAAAAAGATTATTTAGAATAAATAATCTTAACCAAGTTGTAGAATATGTCACAAGGTTTCCGTACATATAAAGAACGCCGAAATCCGAGTTATAACGAAGAAGTTATGACCCGTCGAAGTTTCGCGTCGGAACCGGCACGGCGCCGGGAAGCGTAAAATAGTAAATTTATGATAGACTGAGATTTAGCCTTAGCGCTCTAAACGAAAGTCGTAGAATATGTTAAACTAAGAACATCGATAAAAAGAACGCCCAAATCTGACTTCGTATGAAGAAGTTATGATTTTTCGAAGTTTCGGATTAGCGGTGTACAACCCGAAATTCGAATTTTAGATCGATTGATTTTTAGCCGACACAACCTAAACAAGAATCGAAGATCTCGTTATTAGTAGCGTAACGATAAAAATACAGACGAAAATGGACATCGGATAAAGAAGTTATGAGATTTTAACGGACCAATCCTGTCCCGGCCTGTTAAAAATATAACTTTAAAAATAAAGTCAAAATTAGCCGACGGAGTCTAAACGAAAGTTGTAGAGTACGTCTCCACCTACGCGTGGATATAAAGAACGTCAAAAACGGAGTTCGTATGAACGAGTTACAAATTATAATAGCATATTTACGTATTAAAATAAAGTATAAATCATGTATACGTACATATATATATATATATATATATATATATATATATACATATGTATATATCATTAGAAAGGTATCGACGATGCGGTCATTATAAGACTAATGTTGAGTTCTTTCGACATTAGTTTAGTACAAATATCATTAAATCCATTTAAAATAGTATTATAGAGGGGTGTTTAGTTGTTTATATAACTAAAAGGTCATTAAGTAATTATGGAGGGTAGTTTTTGAAAATTCAATTAGTATAAATAAGAGCCTTGGGCTCTCATATTTCTTGCACCATTCTCTTGATTCAAGAGTCTTTCTCTCCTTATCCCCCGAGCATTTCGGTCCCTCGTGATTCGACTTCTCTTTCTGTAGTTTTAGTATAGTAAGGTGAGCGCTGAAGCGCTGCACGAATCTTTCTTAGAAAGATTCAGCGACGAAGTTCTGCCCCTGCAGAGCCCGACTCCTAGCTAAAATCCCCTTGAAAGTAAGTTATGCTTACCCTATTTTAAATATAGTTTATATTTAAAATTAGTATTGTTATTATAAATTTATAATAAATATTTGAGCTATTATTATGACTTATATAAGTGTCGTTATAATATCTTTTAACTACTCGCGGTACGGGGAATCTGGTTTAAAGGGCCGCATAGGGTTGTTGGATTTCAGAAGTGCTATACGCCAAAATGGTCCTGCCCTCCGGTGTTTTATGTCTGGCCCCTGTCTGTACATAGTAGTTGGAAAGTATTGTTTAAACGCTTATATAATAATAATAATAATAATAATAATAATAATAATAATAATAATAATAATAATAATAAATAAGACTAATAATTAGTCACGGTAATATTAGACTAAAATCTAGTGGTGATAATACTAGGTTTCGTCAAAGGAAATTATTTTAAAGTAAACGAAGCGCTGTCCGAGTACCGAGTCACCACCTTCTCAGGTGAGTGCATAGTCCCTTTCATCTTACACATAGATATGAAGTATTTTAATATAAATTACGTGCTATGTGTGCATATTGTCTGAATACTTGCTGTCTATGCTGAGTGAAAGATTTTATACATGTTTTAAATGATTTAAACTATATATGTATTTTATATCTACGAAAATGTTGGGGTAAAACATGGGTAGATATAATAGATGAAATATGAGTTGGATGATGAGTTGAGAGGTGATATAGACTATAAGGTGTGGGTGAGAGGTGTACGATGTGAGAAGCCTTTTTCCCAAACGATGTCCCCGTCATTCAGCAGAGTATGGATGACAACCACGGACTATCCTAGATAGTCCAGTGGAACACTATCAGGCTCGCAACCTGTAGGTGTTGTGAACGATGTGTTCACCCGGTGTACTCTAAACCTTGGTGATCATGCAGACTTGATACCTAGACCCTGGCGATCATGCAGACTTGGTGCCAAAACCTTGGCGACTATGCAGACTTAGTGCCTATTGTATAAATTCTGGCGACTATGCAGACTTAGTGCCTAAACCCCGGTGACGATGGACTTCGTGCCGATTCCTTAGGATGATCCTTAGGAATGTATGAACGAGGAATAGTTGATTCTTAGGGTAGATCCTTAAGAATAAAGCAGATAATAGGGATGGGTAATTGGGTTGATTGTTTGATTGTTTGAAAATAATAATTATATTATTGTGGGTTGAAAACCCTATGTACTCACCAGGTTTCCCAACCTGACCCACTCAGTTTATTTATATCACAGGTGTTGATATGAAGTCACATTACACTGAGAGATTTAAAGAGATGTAGATCACTAGTGTAAATAAATGTAAGTTCTGTTTATGCTTATGTTTCTGTATTAACGATGACATCCCAAATGTTTTAAAATGAACAAAATACGTTTCTTCGAAAATGTTTTAAAAACGTATTTATCATGTTTTTCTGGGAACAAATTCCGCAACATTTTTATTAAAAGAAGTACTCTGAT